ATTATAAAATCTATTTCTATTTCTATTTCTATTCCTAAATTTATAAAATTATAATTTATAATTTATAAATTTATAATTAGGAAAAGCCCTTAAGCAAATTATTTTCGAAGTGACATGATGCAGTCAACTGTCCATTTATATTCGAAGTCGAACTAGGCAGCTCATGAGTTTATCCTGCTTTTCAATTTTGATTAAATTCTGATCAATGAGAAATGTATGTAGTATTTCAAGAATATTGGTGTGAGTGTATGGGCAGTTGTTGATCACTTCTATACTCATATCTACATCCACATCCTATATATATTGTTAGAAAAGGCACAAATATTAGATTAAAGGCAAAACTTTATCAAGTTCTTTAGTCTCATACTAATGCCATTTTTGTAAACTAGAGCCGACTACGACAACATCAACAACAAGCACAACAACATCATCAACAACAACAACAACAACAACAACAACTACAACAACATCATCAACAACTACAAGTACGAGTACAACAACAACAACAACATCATCAACAACAATCGCGACAACAACATCATCAACAACTACAAGTACGAGTACAACAATAACAACAACAACAACTACAACTACAACAAGTACAACAACAACATCAACAACTACAAGTACAACAACAACAACAACAACAACAACAACAACAACAACAACATCAACAACAAAGTCAACCACAACAACATCAACAACAACAACGTCAACCACAACAACAACAACATCAACAACAAAGTCAACCACAACAGCAGCTATAAATCCATGTAAGTGAAAAAGAAATTACAATTGACAATGATTAAAGTACTCTTGATATAATAGCTTTAGATTGTCTTTTCGAACTAACCGCCTTTTATGACATACAATTTAGGGACAGCATTAGTCACTCTAGTCATCAGAAGAGATATCAAATAAGGAAAAGTAGAATCTGAGACGAGCATTAAAAAAGATATGAAATAAATATATTACTATTTATTTCACTATTGTTCACATAGAAGAAAGAGTGCTTTCCATATTTATTAGTCAATATTTTTGATGCAATGTATTTTTTCTATGTTTAATCCTGGGTACTTTTGCTTTCAAATACAATTATGTATCTAACATTATGTAGCCTGCATAAGTAAAACCTAGATTTTAATTGTGCAACATTAATAGGAACACCATAAGAATATAACGAGACATATACATATATATTGAATTTTATAGAAATCATACAATTTTATAGTAAGATCAATCATTGATTATTATTCCATATTATGTAGAATCGTATCAGAACCTATGCCTTCTATCGATCTTTACTATAAAACACATAGAAGGTCAAAGAATAGACACAGAATCTTATAGCTTAATTTTACTATACTTCAGTCGCGATTCTACAAACATACTATTTATAAATATATCCTAAAATCCATAACTCGACGTCTATATTATTGTTGCTATACCAATGGCTCACAACACATCTCTGAGTTTTATTCTTTATACCAGCATCTCTATATCTGTAACTTTTGCTTTGATAAAGATAACTAGAGTATAAAACCACCCATATCCGACTATATCGAGCGATATGGATAGATGTGCATTTTTGCACATACTCTCATACTCGAGTTCATAGGAATGTATAAAATTCACAAAATCAGACCTTACAAGATTTTTTTGTATTCAGAAACCTTATATTGATCAGTACAAGATATGGCAGAATTTGTATTTTATATTCTCTTTGCTTCGTATCATGTAATTCTTGTAAGATCTCTGCTGACATGTATCAGTCAAAATTAGATCAAGTCTTTCAAATATTGAATCTATGTAATATTGTTTTATTATAGTAAAAAAATCGTATAGAAAATCTTGTTTACATTAGATTTGATGTATTTTGATGTTTAGTTTTTTGATTTGATCAGTTAAGATGTATTCAAACTGTGACCCTCACATTTCAATAAGACAACAAATCAGATCTTGTTTATATATCACTTGTATAATTCCTAGGTTTAACTGGTAATTATGTTTGGAATACATCAGGAATTACTCTACTTAATTCATCACAAGTAACAAATGTCGTGGATATATACATAGACTCAAATGATAATTTATATATTTCGGATGAGTCTACTAATGTTGTTGTATGGAGATTATTGAAGAATGCTGCAAGTTCAACGGTAGTTGCTGGAACACAAGGTTCATCTGGATCAAGTAGTACTCAACTTAGTTATCCTCAAGGTGTCTATGTTGATACAAATGGAACTATGTATGTAGCTGATTACATTAATTGCCGCATCCAAAAATATATAAACGGATCAACAGTTGGAATCACCATCGCCGGTATAACTGGACCAGGTGGATCCTCATTAAATCAATTGTACGGTCCACGACTTATTACTCCTGACCCGACACAAGCATACATATATGTTGCTGATGCTAACAATCATCGTATTATGCGCTACTCAACAACTTCGACCTCTGGTAGCAACGGCGTACTTGTCGCTGGTGAAATTGGAGCAGGAAACACTACTACATCATTAAACACGCCATGGGGTATTTGGTATCAACCATCTATAAGTAGTGATTTATTTATCACAAATTATGGTGGACATTCAATAATGCGTTGGACACCTGGTGCTACTTCAGGTACTTTCATTGCCGGTACATCAGGTACAGCCGGCTCTAGCTCTACTCTTTTAAATTGTCCGATGGGTATTAAACTAGACAATTATCTAAATATGTTTGTTGTTGATCAAAGTAACCATAGAATTCAAATGTTTTGTGCCAACAATCAAACTGGTATTACCATTGCTGGAACTGGTGTTTCTGGTAGTACTACAACGACATTAAATGGACCAAGAGGTATTGCATTTGACTCAAATATGAACATGTACATAACTGATTTTAATAACAAGCGTGTGCAAAAATTTTTGAAACTATAGATTTTTGCAAGCAAAGTTCACACAAATACGCTTATGCTGCCTGATTTATTAAAAATACATTATCTGCTTCGAGTATGTCCGGTGATGTCGCACAAGAAACAAAAAACCAAAAAAAAGTTTTCATTCGCTTTCATTATTACACAACATTTTATTAGTTTGACTCATTCAGTTTTCATTGTCGTTTATTATATTTTAATTTTTCTGTTTTTGCTTGCGCAATAAATAATGTAATGCTAAATCTTGAGAGTATAGAGTGTGGATGTCGATGAAAGGTGAATGATTTTTATAATTACACTTGGTTCATGATAGAATAGATTTTATTCTTATAGTTAGCAAGTATGATAATCCTACAGAATTGAATATTATTCAGCATTCTTTTGTGTGTAGCATATGCTCAGAAACGAGGATGCGAATGTGTGAGAGAGCGGGTGGGTGTGTTTTCAGTTTAATAATTTGTAATGATACTCTTCACCGCTCTGTATATCTGATTTGCGTTTCAACTTTATATTTTTGCTCACTTACCGATTCTTTCAATCAATATAAGCACTTTTTATGCTATATTTGAGATAAAACGAATTTTGAACCAACATTATTAACTATTGCAAAAACAAAATACAAAAATCTCGTTTCATACTAATAAGACAACCAAAGGAAAGCAATCTCTCTCTTGGAAATAATAGCAAGAAAAAATTTAAATAGGAAAAAGATTAAGAGACCATATCAATAATTGCTTTTCTTTCATAGAAATAGTATGAATTTCATTCGTTTTACTATTTCATAGATATCAAAATAATTATTTTTTCAAATCTTAATCTTTTAAATCATAAATCTAAATACTAATAAACATTTCAATAAAAACGTTTCTTATTTCATTATTCATACTTAAAACATCCAAATGAAAATTATACATCGATATTAAGACTTTTAATAAAATACTATATTTTCAACTTATATTGTTCTTTACCTAATCCATTCAATACTATATCACTTGACGAAAAAATTCATAAGGAAAATGGGCACGGAACTAATAAATTAATGAAAATATCGCATGTCTAAAAAATTCCTATCTAAGAAAAAAAAGGTTACATCAGTCGCCGATCTTGTCCTATTGTTTCCAGCTTCTTGTTTTTCTTAATTTTCAGACAAGATTCCTATGTTCAGGCAAAATTCTTTTCGGCATGAAAGTAAAAAGAATCATACAAGAATTTCCAGTTGACAAGAATCTTGTCCGATCAATCAGAAATAAAAAAATCAGGCAAGAACTATAAGGTATTCAAGATCTATTTAATGTTCAGGCAAGAATCGTTTTCTTTTCTGTTAAAAAGAATCTTGTCTGAATATTATGAAGTAAAAGAAACTGAAAAGAAACACAAGATATTTTAAATTTGTTAGTATTCAGACGAGATTCTTGTAATAGAAAAGAAAAAAGATTTTTGCCAGCTTTCCAAGATGAACAGCACGTGATGTGGTCTTTGTTTATCACATATATAAAAGCATTATTTAAATGTTATTTGTTTATAACCGCGACTGACTCGATAAGTATAGTACAAATTTATTTAGATTATTTTCTTTTTCTAAAGCGTCTATTTAATGTAAACGACATCTAATAAGTTATTATTTTGATTGGATGTACCTATATCTACTCTCGCGAGTGACAACATTTTATAGTATTTCTATAGAGTGAAAATTTATTGTTTAAAATTGAATTCGTTATAAATTAAATGATTAACCTGTGTTTGTGCATTATTCATAAAAACATCATTTATAAAAATAAAGCTGTGGTCAAAAAAATCTTGTATAGTATTAACGTTTTTGTGCAACGATGATATTCATTTTTCCCGGAATATATGTTCGTTAGTTATACCACATGTTGGCCATGCAAAAATATGATTTGTTTTGTTTTTTGAAACAGATACATTTAATTATGACATCATCTAGTGATTTCCAAACTCATCATATATGTTGAGAGTGTGGGTGTGATATTTTGAATCAACCTTCTAAATCCTCAAGAGAACGTATCCAAAACTAAGGGAGATGGAGACCTGATGAAGACTTTTTCTGTCGCTTTCATTTATTTCTTTTCAACGTTTTCTAAATAAGAAATGCATTTTTTTTCAAGTTTATCTTTGTTATCTACATAATGGTTACATACAGGCTTTCAGTGAACAGAATACAACAAGAAAAATGATAAAAGTTAGTTTAAACATTTTTTTAAAATTTCATGTCTGCTAATTCATGACGACGAATTATGTTATCAATATGTGTAGTTCAGTCACTATTTACCAATCTAAATACTTTTTCTTCACTTGCAATTCTCCAATAACAAACATAATTTTACGCGTTTCTTCTCTATGAAAGAAAATAAAGCATCTATTATGAGTGAAGTATCTCGATGTTTGTCAAAGATATAACAATATCTTACTGCATAATTGATGAGACAAATAATAAAATAGTACGAAATTTTAACTTTATTGTGAAGAAATGTAAATTTATATGAAATAATAGGATAACATCTATCATATCGACGTTTTGACTAACTTCAGTAGTCATTAACAAGATACTCCTACTTCCAGCACCACCACCTACACTGATAATCATTATATTTGCGTCTTAATATTAAAATTTTCGAATTATTTATTTATTTGTCTCATCACTCATGCAGTATGATATTGTTATATCTCTGACAAAGATCGAGATATTCCACTCACAATAGATGTTTTGTTTTCTTTGATGGAGAAAAATCGTATAAAATTATGTTTGTTATTAGAGAATTGCAAGTGAAAAAAAAGTATTTATATTGGTAAATATTGATTGAATTACACATATTGATAACATAATCCGTCGTCATGAATTAGCAGACATGAAATTTAAAAAAGAATGTTTAAACTAGCTTTTATCATTTTTGTTGCTGTATTCTGTTCACTGAAAGCCTGTATGTAACCATTATGTAGATAACAAAGATAAACTTCAAAAAAAAGTATATTTGTCATCAACGAACGTTGAAAAGAAATAAATGAAATCGACAGAAAAAGTCTTCATCATGTCTCTATCTTGTTTAATTCTGGGCAGGCCCTCTTGCGAATGTAGTTGTGGATGAGTGTCAGTTGCTTCAAAAGATCACATCCTCAACTAGCTATATGTATATATGGTAAGATAATCACATGATTTATTTCTAAAACAAATTTATTTAATATTATAAATAACAAGAATGATACGATTATCTAGATATAATCATACAAATCTATATACACAAGAAAAAAAAGCTATTATAATTAATATTAAATTATAAACAAAGTTATAATTCAGTACGTGGTTCATTAAGATAAATCTTATTATTACTTGTTAAATAAGCTAAATTATCATTTCCAGATGATATATTTTTTCCTGCAAATAGTAAAGCTGGATTAGCATCACTTAAATGTGAACGTGGTCGATGATAATATCTAACATATTCTTCATATGTTTGTCGAATATATTTTCCGGTTGGATCAATAAATTCTTTTTTTACTGTTTTTCCTGTTGGACGAATTTCTCTTATCATTTGGTGGTTTGCTGTTAAATCATTCCATTCATTTCGCACACATATTGAACAATCATGTAAACATGACCAACGATTTGGACAACATGGAAAACAACCACAACACCAAAATGATGAACATGCTTGACTAGATGAATCACGTATTGAACGCATTAAAAAATATGAAAGCCAAGGATTTATAGCACGATTTATTAAACGAAGAATAATAAGTGGAATATCAATTGCATATAGAATATTAATTGAATATAAATGAAATTCTATTGATGGATGATAAATACGAATTAAACGATATATATAATACGGTAATTGACAAAATATAAAGATAATTACATATAAAATAACCTAAAAAAAAATTATAATTATTTATTTTCTTAGAAGAAATAACGTACCATTTTAATTAAATTTGGATGTTCATCATTATATGTTTGTAAATCTAATTGTTTATATGTATTTAAATCAGTTTCATCAAAATTTTTATTTCCATCAATTTTATATGTATTTGTTTTTGCTTTACGATGAATAAAAAATCTTAAGATTAAGAAAAAAATCATTAAAAATACTGGTAAACCATTTCCAAATATAAAATCAAGTAAATATATCGTTCGATAAGGTGCTTGAATATGTTGTAAATCTAACCAAGTCAATTGATTTATTTGTGTATCATTATAAACACATTCATATGAACCATAATTTAATGATTTTAATTGTTGATTAAAAAATATTATTGGAATTAATGCATAACAAATAGCAAGCCATACTGATATTAATATACAAATACCAGTTACGAAACGACGTTGACCATAACAACATTTTTTTCTTTTTACACAACGATCAATACATAAAAAAACAATTGTATAAGCAAGAAGAAAATCCATTATACGTAATATATACATTTCAGATTTACACCATGAATCATTTAACCATTGACCATTATTTAATGCAAAATGTTCACCTAAATCAGCATAGGATACCATTTTAACAATATAAAATATTAATGTCCAAATTGTTCCTTCAGTAATTAAATTCCAAATTAATACATGAATACTTTTTCGACCATAACGATCAGTACTAACACATAGTGAATAAAAGTTTAATATATTACCAATTAATGCAATCAAAGTAATGAATGTATAAACAATAGGTAGAATAATACGAATTGGATAAGCTATTTGAGGAAATGTTTCATTACTTGCCATTTATTTATTTTTCTTCGATATATTGTTAAAATAATTTGCAGGTATATGTTCTATCACTATTTGCTCACTTTATTTCATTTATTTGAACAAGAAAATAGTGACCGACATCGTGTACATTGTCTTATTGGTGCATAACCACAACAAGCACGATCAAGAACAATTTCTGTCTCTCGTTCTCTATTATTTACTTGCAGCTTGTCGCCTGCCTAACGGACTCACATATACATACAAACCTGTTTTTACTTTATTCTTCGTTCGTCTCTTCTCTTCTCTTCTCTTCTCACTATTATTATATTATTAGTATACTCTCCTTCTTTTTCTTTCTTACCTATCGTTTGTATAAATGTCTTGAATAAAGGTAAGGAATTTTTCTTTCTATCGTTCGGATTTTATTTCAAATAAAGATATCATAACAGTCCAATGTAAGATTTAATGTAAAACAGAACACACAATCTTGTGTTGAATTACTCTCGTTTTATATGTTTGTACACTTGAATGAAACTGTTCATGTGCAATATTTAATCGTATATATATATATAGTTAAAAGTTTGATTACAACAGAAAGAAAATATTTTTTATATTGATCTTGTCTTATAATCTAATATTATAAGAGTGTTTGTATTATTAAAAACTATAAATGAAATCATCACAATTTTATTTCTACTCAAGGAATATTTGAAATGTGACAAATACGTTATATATCCGATGTAATTTGATCAGTCACCGCATAATATAATCTCTTATCAAACATATTGTATTACTCATTTATATGTTTAATATACAGTTATATTTGATTTACTTCTGTTCAAAGTTTTCAATGTCGAATGTATTTATCAAATGAAAAAAAAATTTTTGGAATAATTATATGAATAATAAAACTGACATAGTAATTCTCTATGTTTAGAAGTTTATTGTGTAAATATTTTTTTGTTTATATAGAAACCTAATCGAAGAAAATTTTTTAAATCAATAAATCTATTTAAGAAATCTTATAACTGAGTATAAAATATAAATAATTCATGAATAATTATACAAGATTTCAAAATAAAATAGTGTTGTCAACTTAAGCGATCGTATCAATAAAATGATGAGCTTGGAAGCATCATTACAATCGCTGTTTCTATATTTGATGAACTTCTTCAGATTCAATTAAAATTTGTTCAAGTAGTAGACCCATTGAAAGATGTGTATAAATTACTACACCTACTTTAATCCTATCCTAATAAAATCATTTCAACTATCGTAAAGGTTATTATTGCATTTAAAAGCAATGTATTTCTTCACTCTAGAAAATAAGTCGTATTGTATTGTTTTTTCATTGTTTACATTCGATGATAAAGTCGTTATTTTACACAAGAGTCAAATTTATTCTCCATTTAATTTTTCTCATTCTCTAGAATACAAGAGAAAAAAAATTAAAAATATAATTGATGAACAGGATTTTATATGAAATCGATTCTTTCATATAATTTCTAATTTAGCTTACAGATACGACTTGAGGGTCTCATCCATTTTCGTTTACTTTAAAAACTCTACTTGAATTAATGATATAGTCTAGAAATTTTGAGAGTACTGTTGTGATATAAGTGTATACCAGAGTGTAAATAAGGGTCACTCATACTCACTTTCAAGATTAAAATGAGTAGCCTAATGTTGTTATTTGTACGCTGCTCTAAAAATTAATCAAATTCTATCGGTATGTTTTTATTATCAGTATTTTCACATGTGACAATGTCATGTCTGATCATTTTTTGAAACAAAAAACGGAAATATTATCGAATGAGCAAAATATATAGGAGACACGTACTGTAACAGATGTCTCTGATCTAGATTAGACATCATCAGAAAATGAGTTCATTTTAATAGAAATGCTATTATATAGGCACATATATTGAATACATAATTTCAGATTTATATTTCATTCCTCATATCTCAATATTGTACACTAACGACATCATCACAAGCTATTTGACAGAATAAAATAAAGAAAAGTTTTCTCCAATCAGCACACGATTTCTTTGTTCTTGAAAAAAAGGTTCAAAGGATAACGATATACTTCTTTGTCAATCTTTTTCTCCTCCAATTCCATCAATAATTTCATATAAATATTTAATTTCAGATGTCTTTTCATCGAATATCAATATAACGATCTTATTTTTAAAAATCATTTAATTTACAAGTAAATCATGAATAGTCAAAATAATCTTTCAACATCAATTGGTATTTCGAACATAATCAGTGATAAGTCATCAAGTATTACAACAGATGATTGTTCATATTATGGTCGATTGAATACAACAGGTTTTGGTTTTATTCGATCTTATGAAGGAATTCCAGAAAATATTATTGTGAATCTTATCGTTACAGCGGTATAAGAAATTATCTTCAAACGAACAAATTTCTAAAGTATTTTTATATTTAGATTCTTTTATTACTTTTTGTTTATTTACGACGTCGTTTTTCTGATGCGAAAAACATTAATGATGGAACTGAGTAAAAATATTTATTTTCTATATTTCTCAAAAAAAAAACAAATTTAATTTTTTTTCTCTCTCAGAATATCAACTTTACTCTATGGACGAAGTAATTCATCTCGAAATTTGCCTCGTAATGTAAGTTATCTATTATATTGTATATTGTGTCATATAAGTTGCTTTTCGTATGCATCATATACACATAAAAAATGAATAGATGCTTATAAGTTTGCATATATGTTTATTTTATTTTTTTCATTTTCAAATAGGACAAAGAATCATGTTTTCATCGATATTCTGTGGTAAAAAACTAATATAGAAAATAGACTTGCTTATTTCTTTTT